TTCCAAGAAATTTATCAATTTCTAGATTTAAATAAATGATGCTATTTTATTAAAATGTATTATCTATTTTACTTGCACCAATCATGCTGTCGTATTGGCACACCTTTTTTTTTTTTTTTTTGGTGTTAGGTTCTTAATATGCCTAGGGTAGCTTTTATGATAACTTGAAAATAATTTATTAATATTTCTTTAGATGATTTATTGGAGAACACCTTGCGTTGCATGGGATTGACTCCAAAGCATTGAACTTTAGATCTGGTTTGTAACTTTGGATTTGGTTTATAAGACTGGATCTAAGTCTTGGGCATTATTGGCATGCATGTCAATTTTGTTATTACCATCTTTTTTCTAAAATAATAGTTGTTTTTTTTTCTTAAAATTTAGGTTATATTTAAAATTATTGTGAAATATTGTGATTGTGGCTTTTTCAATATTTAACTAGAAAAAAATTATGTTATTGTTTAATAATTATTTTAAAAAGAGTCTTACACATTAATATAACCACTAAATTTAAAAAATATCAACAAAAATTTATTTAATTATAAGAAATTAATACTTTTATAAAGTGCTGTAAGCAAAAAAGCTATGTAAAAACAACCCAAACGAACTGTGGTACTTTTTCTATCCCAAAACAAATGTCGTTTTCAAATTTTGAATTTGTCTCAAATTAATTGTCCGTTTTTTCTTTTTCCTTTTCTTTTTTTTTTTTCTTTTAAGGATGACAAATATTTTTTTCTCTAATTTAACCCTATTATTATATATTTATTTTGATTAATTAACCTATTTACGAAAAAATCTTTCTTTATCTTTTAGAATGTTTTTAAAGATAATATAGGTAAATAGATAAATAGTTCCCAAATTTTTAATTTAAAGAAAAAATAAAAAAAATGACAATTATTATAACACAGGGGAAATAATTTATAAATATTTTTGCCTATCCAACTATCACAGCAATGTAATTAATCCTAGTCAATAGCCATATGAGAGCATGTACAATGGGAACAATGAAAAAAATTTATTTTGCTTCTACATCACCGCCAATGTAACCTTTCATCTTATTTTGTAACAATAGGAACATTGATTAATAGAAGAAATTCTTACAGCATATAAGAAGTCGAGTAAAAGGAATAAAACAATAAGAGATAATTCACCTGAATTTAAAAGCAGAGCACTCATCTTAAATTTTATGCTTTCACTCCTACTTCAAACAAGAAATCAAATTTAATAGTTTATCAAAGCATTAGTTGATGCAATCATATCAGCACCAATGCACCAAATCCCATCAAGAATTTTATAGTTAAACATGCTTATGTGAGAGTCTTAGATGGGTAATCTCTAGAAAAGTCCTCAAGTTGCATTTCTCATCCCCATTTTGTTCTTAAGGGATATCGTAGCAGTTAAAAGTTACATATTTCATATTGAAGATTATAAAGTCAAATTTTGATACAAGTGGGAAGGAGTTAGAAAGTAGACAGCTATTTTTGTTATATAATTCATCACCTAATATTTTAAAAAAAAAACCCCATTAGTCAAATTTAAATCATTTTAACAAAGGATAACTTAAATGCAGAAAAATTGATGCTCTAAAGTAATTTCATTTTTATAGAAAATACATATTGTATTAAATAAATATTTTTAACCATATCTTAATATTGTATTAAAAATAGATTTGTTACTAATAAAACCTATGTTAAATTGTTAATTACTAACCTAAAAACCTTCATTTTGAATAACAAGTTAATTTCCATTATACAATATATTATGCATACATAAACTAAAATGTATGCCACATTTTGGTGTTATTTTGAATATGCATCACCATAAAATTTCATTAATCACAGTTTATCACTGATATTGTCAAAGGCTAAAGGTTTCTAGCAAAAATCTTCTAACACACCATACCATACTCGAGCATTCTGAAGATTGAGCACAAGGAAGTAAAAATGTGAATAAAACCTTAAATTCAATTTGAAGCAATATGACTACCAAAAAAGAGGAAATCTCTAGGTATTCTAGATTAGAGACACCACATTGAGATTAATGCACAACAATGTGTAGAAGACAATAACGCATGGCCAAATTTGCTTCAACTTTGATTAAGTAAAATTTAATTACTTAGAGTAATGAACAGGGGTAAGTACAGGAAGAAAACTTGGACAACCACCAAAGACTTGGTAAGTCTTTCACCTTTCACCTGCCTCCTGAAGAAAGAGACAAAACACCACAGACCACTTCAATTCTTATGCTTATAAATACACATGTTTCCGTGAGAGGCTTCTCATCCCTCACAAAGAAACTTAAAAGAATTTAAGGTGGCAGTAGCCTTATAACAATGAAAAGTGCTTATTTCCTTGTAGCTTTTGCCCTCTTGGCTCTTGCTTCCTCCTTTGCCTCTGCAGATGACCCCAGCCCTCTCCAGGACTTCTGCGTAGCCATCAATGACACCAAGACTGGTGGCATGTCCTCCTTTTTCGACATTGCATTTTCTAGAAACTTCATTAAAAAGTGTACTATATATTTTTTGGTTGGCATTTACACTATATATTTTGGTTGGCATTCTTTCCAATAACACGTCTTTGGTGCACTGTTTGTCAATGGGAAGTTTTGCAAGGACCCAAAGCTTGTAGCAAGCGACTTCTTCGTTTCAGGGTTTGACAAGCCAGGAAACACATCCAGTGCGGTTGGATCTGCTGTCACTCAGGCATTCGTTGAACAACTTCCAGGCCTTAACACTCTTGGTGTATCCCTAGTTCACATTGATTTTGCACTGAATGGTGGTCTTAATCCTCCCCACACTCATCCTCGTGGAACTGAGATTCTAGTAGTCCAAGAAGGCACCCTATTTGTCAGCTTCGTCTCATCTAATCAGGATGGTAACCGTCTCTTCACCAAAGTGCTGAACAAGGGAGATGTATTTGTTTTCCCTATTGGTTTGATTCACTTCCAGCCCAACATAGGGGAAACTCCTGCTGTTGCCTTTTCTGGTTTGAGTAGCCAGAATCCAGGCACAATCATAATTGCAAAATTCAGTTTTCAAATCAATCCACCCATTAATCCTGATGTTCTTACTAAGGCCTTCATGCTGGACAAGAATGTCATCAAGTATCTCCAGTCTGACTTCTAAAGGAAGAAAAAAAAAAGTTAGAGAAGACTTGAACCAGTCATGTTTCAACTCTTGCTTGTCTGGATTGTGTTTGAGTGCCATCCCTCTGTTTGATTATTGATTCCATATAATACCTCATCTACTACATAATAAGAGGTTGTAATAAGAAGTTGCTTATAGCTCAATACATGTAATCAAGAAGTTTGCCTATTGCTTATTAAATATTTGCATTGTCTGCTCACCAAAAAGAATTGTTTCCCATGCTAGAAATACTGCATTACAACGTAGGCTTAAATAAATTCCCATTCAAAACCCTTTCTTTAATCATAGTTGACACCATTTAAATGCTTAGACTTAGTTTTGTACGCTTGTGATTGTAGGGTTTTTGTTCTAGTTTTTATAAATTTTCCAATTCTAAATAAAAAAATTACATATTTTCATGTGTTTTACAACAAAATATTATGATTACTAGGAAAATAAGAACTAAAATAAATTTAGTATTATTAAACGCAAACATTTTTTGTTCCCAATGTTAAAATTTGTTTTAAATAATTTATTAATTTTTGATTCTTAATTTTAGTTTTCAATTCCAAAATTTATAAAACCCCAAATTAACTTAAAACAACAACCATACTAAATTAAACCAAAAAAAAAATCTAACTTTAACAACTCTTTAAACCGATCTAAATATACCTAAAAAGGCCCAATTAAAAATATCTTGAACCTCATTTAACTTTCACTATACAAAAAAGAAAAAAAAAAAAAGAAAAGAAAAGAAATAAGAAGCATAAAGTAAAATGTATGCCACATTTTGGTGTTACATTGAACACACATTAACTTGGGACCATAAGCTTCAATTTTCAAATTCTAACTGTCTCACGGTAACCTGGTAACACACCACACCATACTTGAGCATTCCAAAGACTAAGGGCAATAGTGTAAATGTAAATATAACCTTAAATTCAATTTAAAGCAATATGGCTACACAAACTCAGTCAATGACTAAGATATCCTTAGGCAGCCAATACAACAATATAAAAATAGACGTACTTAATTGTTGATTTATCTTTTCATCTACTTGAACATGATACAATTACCAACTTTGTTTTTCAGAAATGGGGTTATCGCTAACCATCAAACAGGTATAAGCAGCCTTGTTAACTTGAATCAAGTTTAAGTGAACAATTTGTGCATAAAATTAATGTTACTCTGTTTTTAACATTTTCACATGCACACAGAAAAAAGAGAGAAACAGTTTAACATGCAGACTGACAGACACAAACACAGAAAAATGACTGAGGCATCCAATTTCAAATCCTGAGAACAAATGCTCTCAATAACAAGGTTCCAAGTACTGCTAATGTGAAGCCTTACTGAGTACCTAATGCAAGATCATGCCCAGTGTCTTCATCCACTTGATGATTCTCTTGATCTGAAAATTAACAAAATTCCAAATTAAATATGAAGAAGAAAAAGAATGACAACATAAATAAATGGAAAAAGTTGGGAGAAAAGACTAGGGTTTCATAAAAGGGAGCTATATACACAGTTCATATTCTTAATCACAAAACATTGGAAGACAATCTCAATAATAACCTTTTACTTCTAACACAGACTGAAGGAGAGACAATCAACAAAATGAAAAATATGGATACTTTATCAGTAAAATATTGCTCTTCAAGAAATGTAATCAGAAAATGTTCGCCATACTTGGGTCTTCAGTATCATCAGTCCGAGCAACCAGCACCATTGGCAAAGGAAGATCTATATTAATTGAGCAAAATAGTAAAACATCAGTGTCCTTTCACTCAACCAACCAGGACAACCAATATGGGATTGCTACATGAAAAATGCTACAAATCAGAAGGACTGCAAAACAACCAAAAATGCTAAAAAATAGAATTGTTTCCAATTATCCCTTCCTAAGACACCACTGGGATGGAGCTTTAACCCACATACTTTAGTAGTGATACTGTGATAGTCTAGATGAATATGGGTAGCATAGAAAATGAATCTATCTGGAATACCAAAACACATGGGCAGAACTTATAAATAACATGGAAGGACAAGCCTACATAATAATCACTTTGCACTTAAGAGGTCAACACCCATATATGCAATGTACATTCAGCTTTTAAAATAAATAATACCATCATTGGGTAGAGTGTCCCTCATCCATTCCTCATCAACAATATCTATAAGGATCCCCAAACTAAGTTCTGCCATAGCTGTCTCCTCCATCACAGCCAGCAAATGCCCTTTCAAAATACCCAAAAGTGAAGAGATTAGCATCAGAGTGTCAGAGCTGCACACTTTCACTCCTCCAAAGTCAATATATTGCTACAAACAAACACATAAACCCCATGTTTTGGATTTAAATTTCAAGTTAAAGATTTAAAAGAAAGCTGCTTGAAGATTTGAATCAGAAAACCCACATTTGGCAAAAGCTAAACTAAAATTTCTCTTATTATTGTTAATGTGGAGAGGTATGCTGATGTGATGTTTGTACTAAACTCCAATTGGTTTTGCAATTTCCCAAAGGAAAAGAAAAAAAAGAAATCTTTAATCAGTGGCTGTTGATTTTGGATTCACATAACAGTAGATGCAAGTTTGATTGAGACAATTTATCAAACTTATGGTAGATAAAAATTAGACAAATTGCGTAATTTCGTAGTCCAAGTTAGGCATGGGGGAAGGCCATATGAACTCACAACTGCAGTAAAAAAAAATTGTTGCATACTTTAAAATGGGGGATATAATTCGACTATAAAGTGGAAGCAAAAGACACTCAAAGAAAACATTTCAAACAAACAAATAATTTCGTTAAAATCTTTTATCAACGTTTTTTTATTATTTTCTTATATTTTTAGGTATTCTTTTCAATTTTTTTAATACTTTAATCCCTATATTAGCGGTTCTCCCCATCTGTTTTTATGTGAAATCTAAACATTTAAAAGGACAAGCAAAAGTTCTAGTATCAATCAAGCTTAAAGCAAGTGTTTATTAATTCCCCAGACTCCATTTAGCTATTCAAAAGTAAAATAAACATAGAATAAGGAGCTTTGAGCCAAAAAAAGGGAAAAAAAGAAAAAAAGGAAAACAAAAAACAGGTTCTCTGTAATGTTTGAAAGGAACGAAATTCCAAATTTCAATTTCAATCACAAGACAGCAGATACGTTGCACATACTCACTAGTCACTACAGCCAAAACACTAGAAAGCAAAATTTCAGCAACTTAACAAATATAAATCTAAACAATCACTTGCAGAAAACAAAGAACTAAAGGGTGAGAAATCAAGACTTGCGAGCAAAACAGAATACGAACTCATATGTGATTCCTTTCTTTTTTATCATGAAAAGAAATAGGAATTCCAGTTCTATCCTGAGAATCCAGCAAAAATAGTTAATCACCAATAACATCGCAATATACATTTCAATAGTATCAAGAATTTCAATCATAAAACTTTCTCGAGCTGATATCAAGACTTACCGAAAATACCTCAAATCCTACAAGTTCACTATAAAACAAAGCTCAATGTCTTTCTCTCCCCAATCGGCAGCTGGACTTCTTGAGGTTGCAAGTTCCTTTCCTGTGATTGCAACTCTGTTGCCAGCGTTTGAGACTTCGCCAGAGAAAGCTCCTGATATCCTCTGTATCCTGCTCCTCGAACTCCTCAAAGAGGAAGAAGGCAGATGGCAGTAGTGAGAGCAGCTCCCAGATGGAAAAATCGGGTTGCAGAGAATGAGAGGTTGCGCGCCTGCTGAAGTGCAGAAGAATCGATCCCTTGGGTTTCTGACAGTGTGAGCAGATCAGGGAGGGGCTGAAACGAATTGGATGATGAACCGGGTCGGACCATGTATGGAAAACGGGCGGTTTTTGTGTTTTGGATTTGATGACATGGATTCGGGTTTCATTTAAAACCAATGGGATCTCGCATGGGTCCAATTTTGCCCCCTTTTTGATATCTTTCCGCTTTACCTCTGCGTTTCCCTTGCATTTCTTCTAGACCTGGCAATTTTTTACTTAACCCGTTAATTTGTCCATTACCTACTCGTTTAAAACGGGTTAGGATCATATATTTATGACCCATGACCCATTAATGATCCGTTAAGAGAACCCAACGAATCATGGGTCATTAACGAGTTGACCGATCGACTTAACGAGTTTGACCCGTTTACTCGTTTAAAAATATAAAATTTTTTAATTTATTAGTTATTTATTTTGTTTTTCAATTTCCAATTCCCAATCCCACCTAAACCTCTAATAATTGACTAATATTCCCTAATTAACTAATTGATTCTCTTGACTCATCATCTTCTAGAAGTAAAAATAATCCCACTTCACTCATAACTTACTTTCTGACCTTTCCTATTCTTGCTTGCCCTAATACTCTCGAAGACTCTAACTCTTCAAACTTCAAACTCTTCTCATATTCTTCAACTTCTATAGTTCATACAACTTTTGACTTTCAAGCTTCAACTCCACTTTTTTTTTTTAGTATTTAACATTATTTCAAACTTAAATCTTAGTCTTATCGAGTCATCGTTGTGTCCACTCAGCCTTTTCTTTTTTTCTCCTATAAGTCCAGCAAGTGCTCTTTTTGTCATCAACTTTTCTCTGTAAATACTTCAAGGTAAGTTGTTTACTTATTTATACTTTTTAGTTTTCTTTCCATTCCAAGTAGAAATTTTACTTGATTTTCTCCTTTACTTACTTAGATGCATTCAATTGATTATTCTTTGAAAGCAATGACCAAAACAAATATGTTCCAATGGGGTTTGTGTTTTTTGGTTGTCATGCTACTATT